ACCAGAGGGTGTGTCATAATTTATGTACAACTTCCTAGGTCAAAGGTCAAGGTCAAAAACTTTGGTTTCATTTGACAACCCCATGTCCAATGATAAAGATACAAATTTTTTACCACACATTATTCATAGCAGGGCCCACAGAGATGGCTCCCATCTTAATGATATCTAGTTTTTTTTAAATTTTCAAATGACTATAACTTGAAAACAGTAAGTGATAGACACACACGGTCTTCAGTAATGATCACAGGACAATATAAAAATATATAGGGTGAGTCCATGGGGGTCACCCCAACCCCCCTTCAATTTAAAAATGTGCTTTTATCTTGTAAACGGTCGAGATCCCCACCCCTAAACCATATATATTCTTGTATGGGACAATAAAACAAATCAAATGAAATATTGGGGGTGTCCTTTGGCCATAAATATTATTGTATGGAACAATAAAACAAATCAAATAAAATATAGTGGAAGTCCACGGTGGTCACACCCCCCCCCTCTTTTTGAAAACTTGTAAACGGTCGAGATCCCCACCCCGAAACCATAAATATTCTTGTATGAGACAATAAAACAAATCAAATTAAATATAGAGGAGTTCCTGGGGGTCACCCCACCCCCTCCTGTTTGAAAACTTGTAAACGGTCGAGATCCCCACCCTGAAACCATATATACTCTTGTATGGGACAATAAAAAAAATCAAATGAAATATAGGGGAAGTCCAAGGGGGTCACCCCAATCCCCGTTTTGAAAACTTGTAAACGGTTGAGATCCCCACCCCGAAACCATATATACTCTTGTATGGGACAATAAAACAAATCAAATGAAATAAAAGTTTAGTCCCCTGGGGTCACTACCACCCCTTCCTGTTTGAAAACTTGCAAACGGTCGAGATCCCCACCCCGAAACCATATATATTCTTGTATGGGACAATAAAACAAATCAAATTAAATATAAGGGGAGTCCCTTGGGGTCACCCCACCCCCTCCTGTTTGAAAACTTGTGAACGGTCGAGATCCCCACCCCAAAACCATATATATTCTTGTATGGGACAATAAAACAAATCAAATGAAATATAGGGGAAGTCCACGGGGGTCACAACACCCCCCTTCTTTTTGAAAACTTGTAAACGGTCGAGATCCCCACCCCGAAACCATATATACTCTTATATGGGACAAAAAAAAACCGAATCAAATGAAATAAAGGGCGAGTCCCCTGGGGATCCCCCCTTTTTAAGAACTTGTAAACGGTCGAGATCCCCACCCCTAAACCATATATATTCCTGTTCGTCATTTCAAGAAGATTTGAATGACATACAGGGTCAATCCCTAGGCGTCACTTAAGCTTACGCATATCACTTTACTAGACCAAACCAATTTGTACTGGACTTTGCCGAATGTCAGGCAACCATGGGAATGACGAATTATGGGAGCTTTGTTTGGGAGACTTCGTAACAGCATCCTGTTACAATTATTTCTTGTAAACAATGTGTCAACTCAACACAGAGGCAAAGATAATATCAAATGAATGGCTGAAAACCAAAAATCTCAAAATGTCATTACCTCAATGCTGAATTTCACAGCAACAACTAAAATGTATTACATGGTTATAAAATAAAGTACCGCTATGAATCTAGTGTATATTAACTTTTTATTCCTGTCTACATATTGCCATTGTTGATTAAAGCCTTTCATATAAATTCTCTTTCGTTACAGTTGTATTGATTTAAGTTTGCTATCTTATTTAAATTAAGAGATGTGGTAATTTTTGCGAATGAACCAGGTATTCAAGAGAGTTCAAAGGAGGAAGATATATAAACAATTATAGGTCACCATAGGTCGTCAACAATGAGTTAAACTCATACCATATAGTAAGCTATAAAAGGCCCTGATATAAAAATAAATGTGGAACAATTCAAACAAGAAAACTAACTGCTTAATTAGTAATAATACAATTTACTAAAAACAAATATGAAGGACCTAAATCAATAAAAAAAACTAAAATCACAGGCCGTTTACATGGGATGGGCACTGAAAGACATTAACAGAGCTTTCTGTATATTTGATTATTTTAAATCTACAGTTTAAGGTTGCAATAGAAATTATAAAAATTTTACATGACAAACATATGAAAAAAGTGATTTTTGATAATTGCTGATTAAACAATGGTTTCGGAAAAAAAAACATGTGATTAAATACATAGTTGAAATAATACACATTTACAACCTATTTTAAATAATACACATCTACAACCTATTTTAAATAATACACATCTACAACCTATTTTAAATAATACACATCTACCGTTGCAAACTTTCCACAGGTGCTATCCAGCACTTTGATTTTTACACTCCCAGCACCAGCCCATCCATGGTTTTGAAAGGAGTTGCAACGATCTTCTAGCTGTTAAATTGTCAATACCAAAGTTATATCCCTTAAAATGCGAAAAGTAGCATAGTTTAATGTGTCCTCACAATAAATAGAGCGTACGTGTCTCTTCTGCAAAATTATTGATATTTAACTACCAGAATGCACCCCAAACAGTCGTTTGAAGTTTTAACTTCCACATTAAGTCGAACTGCTACTATAATTCGATTATTATTTCGAATTTTTTACCTTATGCTTAAAAAATTACGCTAAGTTTTCTCAAACACAAACTTAATTCAACACGAACTATAACTACTCTATGGAGGAGGGTGTGGACGGGGGTTTACAGAATAGAAATAATGGACAAAAATATAAAGAATAGAGAAAAATGGACCAAAATGAAATAGAGAATAGAGAATAATTAGGTGCTAAAATATAAAGAATAATGGGCAAAAAGTATAAAGAATTGAAAAAAAAAATGGCCTAAAAATAAAAGAATACAGAAATGGAGAATCCCCCATCCAGATCTCATAGAGGGACATAAGCATAAAATATGCCATCTGAATATTTATGTAATATGTCTTAAATTTATATTCGCATTATACATATGTGAAATCTGTTAAAAAGAATCTTACATCGTGTCTCAAATTACTATAACAATAAAGTAATCTCAGATCGTGTACAAGATTAATTAATGTATCTCGTAATTCTATACTACCCAAATTCTGTGGAACGGGTGAAAACTTAACCAGGTGTATTCAGAGAAAAGTTTTAGAAGATTGGTGGAAGTAATAAAGGTCAATTCGAATAACATTTTAAATAAAAAAATTAACAAAAGCTGGAAATAACAAATATCTTTCAGAACACCCCCTTTAGAACTGATCTATCAAGGAGGGGGTGGACAGCTTTTGAGGGAGGTGGGAGACAAAAAATAGGTGGGAGTGAAAAAAAAATTCTAAAAGTGGGAGGTGGGAGATAGGGGCGGGAGGTGGGAGAAGGGTACACCCCTGTCCACCCCTCATCAAGAACATCGAATTTCCTATAAAGGTGTCAGACCACCAATTCACTCCCTCCAATTTAGAACGTATGTAAAAGTAGCCCTACTCTGACACAAAATATTGTGTTTGATGTCACTGCCATTAACTTAAACTAACCAACAAATTTGCAGAAATGAAACTTTTGGTGAAAGAGAAATATATTTAGACCATTCTGATCCAAAATTTACTTTGAGTTTGCATTAAAAATTGAGGATTAATGCGCTCCATAGTATCCTAATTTAAGATTTCCAGAAAACCAGGGGTTATTTTTAGTAGTACTTGTCTTCCGAAAGGCAGTTCTTTCTTAGCAGTCTTTAAACATGGGTTGAAAATTGGAATGTAGAAAGGTGATACATGTACAATTCGCGATATACCTGATTTCTATGAAGTTAACTTATGGTAAAATATTAAGAAAGCTATGAAAATTGCAAATTTTGGTTGAATAGATAGGGATTTTGAATTGGTGGTCTGACACCTATAAAGTTTGCAACGGACATGTACCCGTTAATTTGTCCAGTTAAGATATCAGAATCATATATCCCATTCATAGGTTCGGAAAGACGGCTTTTTGAAAATTGACAGGTTTCTGTTTGTTTAATTACGGTTCTGGTGCATTCTTGAACTCAAAGCTCAGCATTGGAAGTGATCTGTTATTTTTTTCCGAAGATATTTTGAAAAAAAATATGTTAGAGTCAATTTAAAGCTTTATATTTTTAAACAGTTTTTTTTCAATTAACCTAAAGAGAAAATAAAAAACAAAACAAAAACAATTGGAATCACATTGTAATAAACTAAGTTGGTTTATGTCTGTCATTATTGATTTTTCCTTTATTGTTTTAAATAAATCAAGTCTTCGTTTTCTCGTTCGAACTGTTTCACATTTTGTCATGCCGCGGCCTTTTGTAGATGGGCATTTCTCATGGCTGAAAGTTGTTACGGAGACCTACATTTGCCTACATAAACCTCATTTGAACTTGGTTGGTATAGTTGTCTCATAGGCAATCAACCACATCTCTTAATGTGTATGTAGAAAATTTCATCGATTAAAGAGTAAACATTGAACAATTCCCGACAGATCATAAACTCATCATAGATACCAAGCTTAAAATTTGTGTACGCTAGACGCGCTTTTCGTCTACAAAAGACTCATTAGTGACGCTCGAATCAAAAAAGGTTTAAAAAGGCCAAATTATAAACTCTAAAAGAGCAAGGATGACCTAAATTCCGAAAGGTTTTTGATAAGCATCCGAGTCCAAGATGGCAACATGAACATGAGAACGGATACAATGATTGAAAAAGTGATTCATCATTAGAGTTTAACGCGGTTTGTAAATGTCGTAAATTAAGTTAGTAAATTTATACATTACTGAATTAAAAATGAGCTGTAACGGCTACCCGGGTCTTAAATGTGTTCTGTAGTAATCTCATCACATTATTTACTTAACAGTGATTTTTTAAACTATTATTTATCATTTTTTTAATTTATCATTGTTTGTTTGACTACGTCACAGGCTAGATTAAGCTCCATAATATTTTTCCGAAGTCATACACACCAGTGACGATTTGTATATTATGATTGTTTTGTTTACTTCCTTGTTGGTTTTTCCCATACTAAGTGTACTAAGTAAAACGACAACTTATGTCATCGGAAATAGTAGGTTACATAGATGTCCGCTATGTTGTATGATTTCAAAGATCAACTTACGTAAAATGTATCTCTACCTACAGCATGGTAAGAAATTATCTTCAATATCTGGCATTCATCTTAAAGATTTCCACACACCAGCAGTCGAGCAAATCGAAATTGACCACACTGTTGAACCAGCCATTTGGTTCAAAACATTGATTATTAACTCAGTTTTAATTGAGTGCGATGTTAGAAACGTATATTGGCGAGAAAAATGTACGCACGACGAATCCGAAATCGAATTAGACACGGAATCTACTCGGGTTGTTCCTCGTATGACAAGGGCAGTCTATGATGAAGGGGATTGTGAAGACTTTGAACTGTTTGACTCAGTTGTAAAACTTCTGAATAAAGTAGAAAGTAAATCGCTGAGTGAAGGACAGCGAGCACAAGAAATCTTGAGAATTTTACACCTATACGTCCTGCCAGAAATTGTATTGAAACTCCAAGATGTCACTCTTCTACAAGATGCGTTAGAAAATGTTGAACATAGTATAGGCATTATTTCTGAAGATATACAAAGAAAAGACCGTGGAATTTGTTTGACCGAAAATTCGCTTAGAACACAACGTGATAAGTTATTTAGTTTAGATAATTTCGAGAGTGAAAAGTATTTAATTACTTGCAATGATAACTTCCTGCGTGAAGTTTTAGTCGATGTTGAAAGAGATATCGAATCCATGAATTATGAACTGGAGTCTCGACAGGCTGAAGTTGAAAGAATTCGAGATGCTGTGACAGATGAGGGGAAAGAAAACCTCCAAAAAATTCGGAATGTGAGAGATGAGATTTTCATTTCTGTTCAGAAATATCAAAGTGTCCGAGAGACAATAAAAAACGTGACAGTGCGAGAAAATCGATCAAAGAGACGCAGTAAGGTTAAACCGAATGTCTTTCATGAAATATACTTGGAACTTAAAGGTAGACTAATGAAAGAAAAAAAGATTGTTAAAAACTGCTGCGATCAGAAGTTGAAGATTGCGTCAGTTCGAGAGGCAATAATGCAGGTCCGTGACGAATTGTTACAAAGAGGTGAAAGCTGTGGTTTTCAAACATCACGGGAAGGTCCAGGAACTTCAACAGATGTCCTTGAAACAAGCGACGAAAAGCCATCAAAATGGCAAACCGTTGAAGACAAAGTCAAAAGCACTCTTTTTGATGGGTCTTCGGGTCCTGCATTGGCATTCAAATCTTTCTGTGATTCTGTTACAACTAAAATCACAGCTTTTATGAAGGAAAACGAATTCTTTCTAAATTCTCGCGATCCCGACGAGACCTGCATTAAAGGTAATGATGGCGAAGACAATGATGAATTTGTAAACATTTCATACTTGGACAGTATTGCCATCCAACACAGTCAGACTATAGACAGCAGAATATCGAGCGGATACCGACCATTCACAAATGCTATCAAAGAAGATATACTGAAACATATCGAAGAGCAGAGTAGATGGTTAATGACTACAATGGACATAAACTCATACATGGAGAAGGGGAAAATACTCAATGTGGAACTTCCGCATAAAGTATGGATTTGTTATGAAGTGCAACTTTACGGTCAAATAATGAATCCGTTGGCACAGCTTTATCATGAGTCTTACAGTGATGTGGCAAATAAACTTTATGAATTCCTGTTGAAGAAGAGTTTACTAGAACTTGGTATAGACGAGCCGTGGTTAAATGAGGAGTGTATTGAAAGCCAACCGGACCGATTTGAATCAAATAGAGGGGCATGCGCAATTGCCAAAAAGGGTGCCTCTCTCAAATCTGGATTGAGCATTACCCTTGGGCGTATGACTCTTGACGAGTTGTATCAGTCCGCGAAAAATGACTGTCAGGACATTCCTTCGTTCATAGATTGTCCCCTTGACGATGAAAGAAATAGCGATGTTTTTTATGATCAAGAGGAGAGTGAAAGCAACCCATCAAGTTTATTCGAAAACGGACTAGAAAAATGCTCGGACATTAATGAGAACGATAGGGCAAGTTTGTACGCGAAAGTTTCCGGTGAACAACCAACTATCAACGAGGTGCTACAGCCAGCAGGTAAGGAGCTTGACCACTGCATCGAGACAGCCGCAGTTGTGGAAAAATTAAAATGCATGACCAGGGCCTATCGACTGGTCAACAGAAAAGTCACTAAATTAAAGTCTAGAAAGCGACATTCTTCTATAGAAAGTATGGTTTGCTGTGACGAAATCCTATCCGCTTCCATAGTTTTACTCACATTATTGAGAAAGGAGAACTTTGTCCAACTTTATTCACACTTAAATCTGCTGATAGACTTAATGCCGTCTTTCTTGACCGGAAGTGTTCATGACTGTTCCTTAACAAACTTTTACAGTTCTTTTCAGTACTTATTCGATAAGATGGTGTCAGTAAATCGTGTCAGTAGATAAGTGACCTGTATTTTATACGGGAAATCATCGGACATACATTCCTTGTTTTTAAAGCGTTTTGTTTAATTTTAAAACAACACATGTACAATAGAAATCACATTTTACGGTTGTAATAATCTTTTACGTTTTATTCAAAGTAACATATCGGGTACACACATTAGCTTGAACATGTTGAACGAATTGTACTTGTACATTTTAATTTGTGCCTTTCGTTTTATTCCCATGTTAATTTTAGTGTTACTTGCTTAATCCTTTCAATCTTCTGTTGGAAGCATTGTCTGAATTACAAATGTTTTAAATCTGTCGAAAATATATTTTATTTTTATAGTCTTTATTCTTATTTCTGTTAAATGGTACACAACACAATGTAACAATTAAAAAGAACGCATGAAGTCAAGTGAGATAAGCCACCCCCTTCTTGTTCACAAAGTGAGATAAGTCACCCCCTTCTTGTTCACATGAAGGGCAAGGGAGATAAGTCACCCCCTTTTTGTTCACATAAAAGGCAAGTGAGATAAGTCTCCCCTTCTTGTTCACATGAAGGGCAAGGGAGATAAGTCTCCCTTCTTGTTTGCAACGGTTTAAACTATTTAAGTGACTTCTTGATGGACACGTCAGCCGATTTGTATTTATAATCGATTTCGGCCGAAGAATGTCTAATTGGGAATTATATTATCATATCTCGGTAATCTCGTCCTTTAGTAAACAGTTTCAAAGTTTTTGCGACCAATTATTGTGTAGTTAAACGATACAAGGATGCAAATGAACAGTTTTGGATTTTTTTTTTTAAATTGTCCAATCTGACATTAAGTGATCTTAAGTGGCCCCATACAAGGTCGGTAAGATTTACAATCAGGTTACAACGAAAAACTTTAGCTTGTATAATGCAGGTACACGTAAAACCCCATGCAGATACATAAAATTAGATTTGAAAACATAAATAACATATCTTCCTAAATAGATGTAATATATATATACTTAACTTCCTTGACTTTAATGATATGAGTAAGGTCGTTATCAGATTCTTATTAAAACTGTGATCGAGTGTATGAACCCAGGCCCTATGATGCATTCATTGGTCTGCTCTAGTCTGTGAATAGTTTAAGTATTGGAACAAACATTTTGTGTATATTTCTATGTTATTTTCACACACAGAATATGCTTCCTTTAAATCCACAGCGTTAATATTTCGAGAATCAGAGATACATTGAGTATCTAGTTGGCTAAGAGATAAAAACAGATTGAAATAGTGGCTTTTAAATCTGACCATTAGTATTAAAAAACAATGCCGTATATATATAATAAATATTGTCTTAGTAGTCGATGGGAAGGGGACAACTGCATTTATTGAAAATGAAAATGATAGAGACACTAACTCACAACACAAGATAAGCTTGTTTTCGCTTTTATAATTTTGCCCCCCTACTTTTCCGTTCCCTCCCTTCTACTCCACTGAATAAAAAAAACAGTAGGTATGTCAATATGACAGTAGCCCAACGACACAAAAAACCGAACTGAGACAAATCGAGAGCAACATACAGTCTTAACGGGTTAGTACATCCTAATTTTACAGTACCGGATTACCGAGCCTGTAAATTTAAATACGATCCGGGTAAACTTATCGATTCTTTAAATAAACTTAATCTAAAAGGTGGACAATTCAACACTGTAGTTAGATCTTTGAATATTGTTTTATCGGTATAAAAATTGATTTTGTTATCGATAAATTAAAACCCAATCTAAGCAAAATATAGATCTTTGATTTCGTTATCCTCATTATATATACGAGCACGCGAGTTAAGATAGATCTGAAATTTTAATAAGTATTGATTAAAGCCGAACTAAATATAATTGTTATACACATATATGTACATTCACGGTCCTACAATCTGTCAAAATCTGTATCTTGGCATTGCACAAGGTCATGCTTTTCTCTGACTGTAAATGACGTCTTTATACTAAATCTATTGGATATGTACTGACTGATATTTTAGTCTTAGATGCATGATTGTTTTATTAGTTGTTATGGGCTTTGAACTAGTTTTCAGTAACGAGTACTCTCAGATCTGTACTTTGTGTCTTTTCTGGTGTTGTTAGTATTTTTGTGCTTTGGATAGATTCAATGAGTTAATATAAAATTAAAGAACCTTAGTGAGCGCGCTCACATACCCCACGTCCCCACATTGTCATTGGAGAAATAAAATATGTGTAAGAAAAAAAAATTGTATAAGAAAAAAAAAATGAATCATAATTTCCTGTCAATATGCACATCTACATAGTATTTCCTTATTATCTACAAAGTTTCATGAAATTATGTTGTATGGTTTCAGAGGAGTTGCGATGACAAACTGTTGCAGAAGTACATTGAAGCAAATAAGTTCAAAGGGGCGTAACTCCTAGAAAAAAAATTGAATCATAATTTCCTGTCGATATGCACACCTACATAGTATGTCCTTATTATCTACAAAGTTTCATGAAATTCTGTTGTGTGGTTTCAGAGGAGTTGTGATGACAAACTGTTGCAGTAGTACATTGAAGCAAATAAGTTCATAGGGGCGTAACTCCTAGAAAAAAAATTGAACCGTAATTTCTTGTCGATATGCACATCTACATAGTATGTCCTTATTATCTAAAAGGTTTCATGAAATTCTGTTGTGTGGTATCAGAGGAGTTGCGATGACAAACTGTTGCAGTAGTACATTAAAGTAAATAAGTTCAAAGGGGCGTAACTCCTAGAAAAAAAATTGAATCGCAATTTCCTGTCGATATGCACATCTACATAGTATGTCCTTATTATCTAAAAAGGTTTCGTGAAATTCTGTTGTGTGGTTTGAGAGGAGTTGCGATGACAAGAAACAGGACTGACGGACGGACGGGTCAAAAACATTATACCCTCCGCAACTCATTGCGTGGGGTATAATTAGGAAGATGTCGATGATGGATAGCTGAAAAATAAGAAGATGTGGTATGATTGACAACTCTCCACAAGAGGCCAAGTGGCGGGGTTAAACATGTTAGCGGACGCCCAACCCTCCCCCTTACCTGGGACAGTAGTGTAAGACCGTTTTTTTATTGGACAAGGAGAAAGAAATGCACCTCCACATACAAAGGCCATTCATACGTCAGTTGAGTCCGCGCACTTAGTTAAATAACACTTTAAAAACAATTGGTACTGACAACCGATGCTCCCTTTACCGCATATTTATGAGTGAAACCAAATATCGAGTGCCGCCTATGGTCTGTTCTGCGTACAGGGACGAAGAAATCATTTACTTTTATTGGCATTTTTACACCTGTATCAAATGCGTTCCAATCCAAATGATATACTCGAATTATCACCCCGAAACAACACGACTAAGTGAGGACTATATGTTCCTATTTTTTTTTCTTTATATATCTGATATCTACAGTCGGAGCCCTCATGAACAGAAAAAAGACTTTTCGTTGGGCCAATCTGGCAACTCGGCTAACACATGCAAAAAAAAAACAAGATGTGCAGGTGAGTTCGTATACAATTAGTTTAAATATGTTTATTTTGCAAATGCTCGGAGCTAAAAACAAATAAATATATACCCTGATCGAGGAGTTAGAACTGAGAAGCAAGACATGAAACAAGTAATAATGAAATAAAACAAACAATAATGATTTGTTTTTCTTTCTTTTAGAATACTTTAATAAACAATTGACAGTAAAAAATCGTATCACATGTCTTGTCAAACTTCTAAAGTCATTGATATGACGTTAAACACCATGGCAACATCAACGACACGAGTTCTGTTTCAAATGTGCATATTATCTCCCTTGCGTGATATTCTTGAGGTTCAGAATTTAGCATCCCATTAGTTTTAGACACGCATTATTTAGTGGGCGTGCCGAGTGGCAGAGTAAATTTATTCTGTATCGCACGGTCTGGTGTTGCTCTTGGGAACATTACAAATTTTCCTGCAAGAAAAGTGCAGACAAACATGTAATACAATGTATAAAATCTTTGATGTCTTTTGGTTCTTTGTGTCATTAGTTTTGATCTTATTGACGTATATATGAGAACTACATTTATTCTGCCTCTACTACTCGGTGGAGCAGAGGGCAGTCCTAGCTTCGCCTATAGGGTAAGAATTAAACATAAAAACAACATTTTATAAATAGCATGCGTCCGAAGTGTTTTTCTTGATTTTCTTTCATGCGTTTTTCTGGATTTACCTTAATCAGGAACGTTCAATGCTGAAATTCAGTCAAATTACATGACCTGTGGTAGCAGATTTTTGTCTTTCCCTCAGAGGAATATGAATGTGACACCATCAGACGACAACCACGCCCAGATGCGGAAATAGGACTTTGAAAAAGGGGCTCCAAAACTAGGCAACACAGAAATCTATACATTAACCATAATACAGTTGGCCAGGATCCCCTGTTCCCCCTAATCCGCATCTGACGCCTGCGCTGTGTCAAACACTATTGACCACTCGGCCAAACTGGAGTATATTAAAATTTGGCTTTGTTAATTAAGTGATGCTTTTCGTCCTCGGCCTCATCTTCTGTTGTTACACGGTGACACGTAGATACAACACCTTGCATGTCAGCTGTTTCGTCAGTCAAAGAAAAGGATGAAAATAATCTATACTATGCATGTATATGCGTGTTGTGTGTGTTACTTCTTTTAAAGCATTGTAAGGGGACCCAATACCACACATTTCAATGTAGACATTGTCTTATATGGTGATAATGCGTCCAGTAAAAGGATCAAATGTTAAATTCATTTTTAAAAGAGTAAAATTGAAAGAACTCACGTTGAACTGGCGATGATGATCTACTGCTACTTCTGCTAGACTCCTTTTGTAGAAAGCCTAAATCAACCAAATAAACAGCTTACAAATGATAATGATTGAACAATGTAGGCCATAGATCAACCAAATAAAGAAATGTCAGTAATATCCGCCTGAAGTTATACAATTTGGTATCACGAAAAGTGTACAATAATAGGTTTCAAAACCTTACTGTTTACTATTTTGTCTTTTTTTTTTCTTTATTTCCTGCATTTTTGCTTCAAATTAAAACTTTGACTCTCCCATTTGCACTATCTGGATATTGTAGGCGTGCAGAAATATAACTCCGTAAAAAGGCATGAATTCTCTCGTTCGGCATGTATGTTGTATTGAACCCGAAGTGGAATACTAGTAATGGCGATTAATTGCGGAAATTTTTGTTCGGTAATGTGTCCTTTCTTTTATGATATTTTGGTTCAGCTCCTGAAATCAATACGAAAATAGAAAATGTAAATGAAATGCAGTGTGTTGGAAACTTACCATCGCCAGATGAAAGTGGTATTGTGAAGTTCTTTGGTACATCTTTGCCATTATCTCCAGCCTCGAATACTGACGCTGAGACACTTCGTCTTCTAAGTGATTCATAGTTAGTCTAAAAAAAAATCAACCGTTTCATATCTTTTTCTGCAATGTGTAAGCGAAAACATGTATTAATCTCTTAGAAAATTTTAAATGTCCAGTCTGTACATCATGTGGTAGGTAGTCAACGATCGTGCATTGCGTTGTAAATGATCGATATAAACTTGACCAGTAGATAAATGTATTCCTGTATTAGTCCCACGTGTAAATTTTAAGATTTGTTTCTCGAAATAAGCTTACTTATCTTACCTCCTATTGATTTCTGGGGATATGATTGGTTAAAGGACTACACGTTGTGACTACATAATTATATTTGATATAGGGTGTCCCAAGAAATATGGGGTTAGTAAGGAGTTACTTCCCTTTCAAAACAAAAAAAGAAATCTGAAAGGTTTCAACAGACGAAGAAATTGATAATGAACGATTGAAATAAACTCATAAAACAAATTTAAAGCTACTAAGTTGTTATTGATGGCATTTGTTTTTGTATAGACAAATGGAAGTAGGTTCTTAATACTAAGTATTGAAGACTTAATCACTTTGATAGGCCGCTAGTCTAAATACTACATGCGAAGATAGTCGGTAAGATAAATTCGTTACACGGTGTGCTAGTGACCTAATACGATATATATGGGGTCAGTAAATTCCATATGGGGATTCGCTCTCACCCCATATATCACTAACACACCATGTAACTAATAATATGTATTTATTTATATGAAGAAATTTATATTATTTGATTTTAGGGTAGTATTTTCACAAATACATTTTTGTGTAAAAACAATTTATACTTTTTGAAGGGGATGAAACTCTAATGATTTTATTTTACAATGCAGGTAAAAATGTACAATACACCAGTACGGTTGCCCAATTTTTCCATTTTTATTTTCTGGATTTATTTTAATCGTTATCTTCTCGTATAATATTTAAAACTCCATTTTTGTCAAGTCTAGCATCTTTATACACGGTATATTATAATTTTGCACATGTATCTTCAAAACAAAGTTATCCCAAGGGTGTCTGGGGAATGGCAATATAGTCACTCTTGGTCTTCTTCAGACCGGCAGTAAAACCCTTGCCAAAGTGGGGCGTCCGTTTGGCTGTGCGGTATGTACAAGTTCGCAGTCACGTCCGGAAAGAATGGGGACGTTAAATCCGATGCCATGTGTAAAGAGAGTGCCATGCTCTCTGCACGTTAAGAACCCTTGCAACAACTCTTTGAGGGTCCGTAGGTGGCCTGTTGCAAGACATAATTTCTGTCCCCATCTAATATATCCTCATTTCCCAGTGGCAGTCCAAATTTCCCCGACCTCCATCCTGGATGGACTCTATTACAGGACCTACCTATTTACTGTTAATTTGTTCTCGTCCTGAACCGTGATGCATGAAATATTTGGCACTTGACATCAAGCAACCAACAACAAACCAATCAACTAAAACAAAGTTTAATTGTTTGGTATCTTTTATTTTGGGAATAACAAAATAAACAAATTCTTTAAATTATAAAAATTATCATACTGCGGTAAATTAATAAATAGCATTCCAATCGGATTAAAATACATAGATCTGTGTCCACAATTTGCTTACCAATGAAGCTTTGACACAGGATCTGTATTTCAATAAGATTGCGGAAAAGTTAACCAGTTTGTAAAATTTCAGCTTGTGCATTAAAACTTGACGCATATATTTAGAAGGAAAACGAACTGATGTTCATGTTTTTTATAAGGTATTCCCGTAATCTTTCATGTTATAGCAGTACCTATACCTGTAACTTCTGGTACTGTCTGCTTTTCTGTATGAGCTTCTCTGACACTTCATGAAATTTCTTGCTTGTAGAATCTAAATTTTTCTTTGCATCTAAACAAAATTTTAACAATTGGTTATAGACTGTTTTTAAAATTCATGTCTCCTTCTCCGGTTTTATGCCAGGTTTTCTTGTATACCTTGAACCAATCATGTAGTTGTTGGGAACCGCTATGGCGTATCGATGGTTTGTAATCTTTACTTTACTGACCTAACTTAGACGGATTGTGGTGTTCGATGGATAGGAGTCCCTATGCGTGATTTGTACAAAAGTACACAAAAACACCTGTATCACTCAAAGTCATGAAAAGATTTTCACGAATTGTTCGTATTGAATAAAAGTACATAGACAAGTTATTGGTATTCAAATGGTAACTAACGTTGCTCTAGTTTAACACAAACTTGTTACTTAAATGTTAATTCGCTTGTTTGGAATGACGTCTCAGCTTTCAATGACACTTGTACGTTCATTTCAAAAACACGTCTAACAGTTTCAGGGCAACAGGACTTGAACTCTTTTTTGGAGACATAATAATCATTCACCAGTCTTTATATAAATTGAATAATCTGGTTTTCTCATCTTTCTTGACCTCGGATAGAAATAAGAATCACCGTTTTCATTACTTGGTCCTATTGTATTTGATAGTTTACATTATTATCTAATTGTTTTTCAAATAAAATTGTAATTCTTTGAACTACTGGTTCATGTATATATATATATATATATATATATATATATATATATAATGTTGTTTGTGCTGTAGTTAGACCCCTCTACCAAGAAATTTGTTTTGCATGCACACGTATAAAAATTGCGGTTTTTATCCAACGCAATCATAGGTTTGAACGTTGTTTTCAATTTAGACTTGTATATATATATATATATATACATATATTTACTACTACACTTACTGATTAATGCTTACCTGAGTAAAGCTTCTTTAATGCTGATTATTTGTTAAAGAAAATGATAAAGTTCACTTTAGATGTTACTAAAACTTCATGATAAAACTCTCTTAACCAAAAACTTCAACCTTATACAGAACGGACGGACAAACAGACCGGAAAACCATATGCCCTCTTACTGTTGTATGCGGGATATAAAATTGTTGCACTGACGGTATGCAAAACCTGTATTTAAAAGAAATTTGAAATGATAACATGAAGTACAAGAAACAGTTTAGCCTTTAGATAAAGATTAACCGTTGACATAAAATAAATTTCCATGCCCCACTAAAAACAATTATATGTTGTATATAACTGTTTTGTTACGTTTTTAGTGGTTACTATTTATGTTGACATAAAAAAACCACGATAATATAAAAGGGCTATACCGGGCACAGCATGGCGAATATAATAGAATGCGACCAAAGATTTCACCAAGAACAACCAAACGGTAATAAACTCATAAAAAAAAGATGAAAAAATAACTGATTGAATAAGATATTTATTAAAAAAGAGGGAAACATGGAAATAAATCAAATTCAAATTGGATGGATTTGGGAAAATAAAAAAAAGTGTCTATGTCGGCCACTTTTCTCCCTATCTATATCCAAAAATGCAGATATAAAAAATCTGAGTGAAACAAATACAGACAGAGAGCACGGTTATTTTTCTTTGATGGATCAGTGAAACGTAATAAAAAAGTTAGCTCACTTACAAATACGACAGCACCTATAAGTATATTATTACAATGACATAAAACAAATCTTTACATGTATAATAAGTCTTTAGTGGAAGCTAGGTCTACTTGTCAAATCGTGTAAAGTAAGCTACTTGAGAAAGTCAAGACTGGAAAACAATGCTAGTTGCAATTGAGAAAGACAAAAAAAAGCCGATGACAAGACTCTCAATTGCACTCGATTAGCTTTCGATTATCGACAGAATAATGTAACAGCCACTATGTTCCGTCAGTTACTTTGTTCCGGCGGAACTTTTCAACTAGTTATTTCGTTCCGATGGAACTTTCCAACTAGTTGTTTTATTCCGAGTGCAGTCGAAAAGTTCCGGAAAAAAGTAGCTAGTTGAAAAGTCCCGGAACAATGTAGCTAGTTGAATAGTTAACCGTAACCCTAACCCTAACCTAACCCTAACCCTAACCCTAACCCTAACATAACCCTAACCCTAACCTAACCCTAACCCGAACCCTAACCCTAACCCTAACAAAGAGGAACTTTGTGACTAGTTGATAAGTTCCGTTTGACTTTGTGGCTAGTATCTTTGTTCCCCTTTGAAAAGGTTCAAAGATAATATGTTGCACTTTTACAATTCTCCAAATGGAACTTTGTGACTGGTTGATAAGTTCCGGCGTTGGAACTTTTGGGCTAGTTTGTTAGTTCCGGTTTTGACTTATTTGCCAAAGAGGAACTTTGTGGCTAGTTGATAAGTTCCTTTTGACTTTTGTAATTTGTAATCAGTATCTTGGTTTCCCTTTGAAAAGGTTCAAATATAATATGTTGCGCTTTTACTTTGCATCAATATTCTCCAAATGGAACTTTCTGCCTGGTTGATAAGTTCCGTTGGAACTTTTGGGCTAGTTTGTTAGTTCCGGTTTTGACTAATTTGGCAAAAAGGAACTTTCTAACTAGTTGATATGTTCCGTTGGAACTTTTCAACTAGTCACTTTGTTCCGGTGGAACTTTTAAACCAGAGGAAGAACAAAGTAACTAGTTAATAAGTTTCTCCGGCTAGTTAGTTCTTTCCGCCCGGAACTTTCCAACGTCGGAACAAAAGAGCATTTACAATTACACGTATCGATGTTTGCTAATTCAAATTCCATATTCAACTTTCTTGCTTCACTCAAACAGCGCAATCATGTCTATACGGACTTTGGTATCGTGTACACATGGTTCCGAGAATTGTGTTCATTTGTAACATTGCAACAATAATGAATCGCATAGTTTTTTCCAATTTTTCTAGGTGTGATTATAATAAATAACGGGCTCGAGTTGCATTTTATAGTTGTTGCGGTATTATGGGAACTTCCATGGATCCCAAATTTTGTTTAGAATAGCAAGTTTTTCTTTATTGTTCGGATGACCAGACTAAAGAAAACAAACAACCTGTACAATGCATGCAAAAGCCACATCTTCGACATATACAAACAAGAGAATGTTATATCAAATAGTTTACAGCATCTTCGTATCTTTGAAAAATAAAATAACTTAAAAACATCTGAAAAATTGAGCGAATTTCCCGTACGGTAATGGAAGGCCCTCTTTGCAATGTAAAATATAGTTACATGCACGTCATTACAGGACTCTATTTGAACATAAACATGATACTACCATCAAGAACATGCCCCCCCCCCCCCCCCCCAAAAAAAATTTAAAAAAAAAACAAAAAGAAGAAACAGATGAATTGTCTCAACTCCGTATTCTTAACGGTTTTACTAAACGGTTTGAAGAGATGAATTTAAATGTATACAACTTTAGAAAAAAAACCATTTTCGGTCCATTGGTATATTGTAAACACAGTAGCAAATGTGATTTATGATCATTTATATATAATAATATATATAAACTTACAAACAGCAGATATAGAATATTAAACTAGAGAACTCCACACACGGGAATGGGCATCAAGAAGGTCCCTCTTTTATTCGGAAAAAATATTAAATATCAGTGAAGAAATCCAGGCTGAATCCGCCCTTTCAAGAGAGGCGAACGATGCCAAAGGGACATTCAAACTCATAAGTCGAAAATAAAACCGACAACGCCATGGCTAAACTGAAAGAAAAAGACCAGCAGACAAACAATAGTACACAAAACACAACATAGAAAACTAAAGACTGAGCAACACGAACCGCACCAAAACCAGGGGGTGATCTCATGTGCTCCGGAAACTGGGTAAGCAGTTCCTGCTCCACATGTCACGGGCACCTGCCGTTGCTCATGTTAGTACAAACCCCGGTAATAAGTCTTAATTCGGTAGGTAAATTCGGAAAAGGGGTCGGGATTGTAGTTACGACATTTGGAATATATCCGCTATCATCTGTGAAACGGATATTCCATAACGTCTAAGTGGCTTTTAATAATGTCTGGATAGATCTGCGTAAAATCTTACTATCCTTACCTTTTCCCAGGCACTTGTCTCTATATATACTTTATATGTAACATATTAAAGTATGTAGGTACTTTTTTAGAGACAATTAAGTGCTTGTGTTACTAATGTTTAGATGATTCACGGTTTGTAATGTAAGGTACAATAATACTGAACTGTACATTATATACTTCTGCATTCTATTTCAAGCCGTTATTTTTATTTTCCCCAGTTGTTGTAAATCAATACAACGTTCACTTGTCGTGTTAAACAACATTTCGTGTGGTTTTGGTTAACATTAGGCTTAGTGTGGTAAACATTATGTGACAGATCTATTTTTAACATCTGCCAACTTATCACATATCTCTGACAAGACCATGTGACTCAGTAAGGCACGGAAGAGGGTAACTACATATCATTGTACATGACTATACACATTATGAAGGTACTTAATGAATCAATCGATTTAAAATCAATTTTCTTTAATGCCATTGAATAATTTTCACAGGCACATGCATTTTTACAACAAAAAATACTATTCAAACTAAATATTTTGAGTTTTGGTATTGACATCTCCCCTTCAATACACTTCTTCTTTGTAGCACATAATATCAATTCACTTGTCAACATTGGAAATATGTTTAATTTTTATTAATTCTTTGTGTATATCGACGAAAAGGAATACAGAATAGGTAAGAAAAAGTTGTTTCAAAGAAATTAAAACTGATTAAAATCTGTTCTCTAATCCAACAGAAGTGATTGTTTATCACTTAGGCACGGTGCCACGGTGAAATCAACAAAAATATTAATGATGGCTGCTGTTTTTGATGCAGAAACCGTCTACGCTGATTAATATTAAACAAAATTTTACAATTTATGAGAAAACTTTAAAATAACAAATTATAGATACGATATGGTTAACAATGTATGCATTACAAATGACTCATTGAGTGACATAATAATTATCACAACTGTGCCAACTTCAAAGTAGCCAAAATCCAATCCAAACTAAACAAATGATGAAAGTAGATCTATGTTCATGATGTTATGTGAATTTCCCTATTGGCACATATATATATATATATATCTTTTATCCACTTATTAAGTTATTTTCTTACTCCATTTTACATTGATTAGCCATATTTTAAGAGTTATCTCCCATGTCAACATTGGTAAATATCAAAATGGGACACATTAATTGGAAAAAATACATTTTGATTGGAACACTTTTTTTAGTAAATGAAAATCAAATTACATTGAAGAGAAACATTTCAATTATTGCAATTGTGGAATAGAAATTACAAAGGTGGATTTAGGGAGGGGGGAATCAGACATCTAGGAAATAATTCACCAAATATTATGATAAGTCGTACGGTAGAATATTGTTCTTGTTTTAAAAGCTTTAGAATCAAATCATCAGGAAGCTAGTGTGAAGGATTTAGACAAATTCCAGTATATAAACAGTCTTGCCCCTTTTCAAAATCCTGGATCCTCATCAGAATTACAAATCAATAAATCATATACTACATTCATCATTTCAGCAAGGCAAGAAATTGTTACATTTTTATTATATGTTAGTAAAAGTTTTGATTGATATCCAAAGTTGGCATAATATTTGTATAAAAATGAGGTATGATTGCCAATACATTTTGCTTTAATGCACAAGTATCTATTATTAGTCCAAGATAAAAAAAAAGTTATATATAAAAACATGGCTAAAAAGGACATATCTTTCAATTTTAACAGAAAGTAAGTTATTTTGGCAGTAACCATGGTAACTAGTCATGCTAGTTTAAAATAACATTTCTCTCACAAAAATTTCATAATATAATTTTTTGGTGAAAAAGGTAGTCATGCTAGTTAAAAATAACATTTCTCTCACAAAAAAATCATAATATAATTATTTTGTGAAAAAAGGTAGTCATCCTATTATATCCATTGGTGAAAGAACCTTCTGAAACGGGAGATATATATATCTAAGTTTTTTCGGTGAAAAAAGAAAATATAATGGTTTGTGTAGATATAATTCCAATATCTGTGCTTATATTTCTTTTGACAACTGAAGACTATTTCAATATTTGTCCATACACTGCTTAGTAAATACATACAAAGAATAAAGTATATTGACAATTATGAATTTTTTATAGATTTATTTCTTTTAAACTCATTCTTACATCTGATTAAAAATTCATACATTTTTCAAACCAGATGTTATGGTGAGAGACTACTTTAAAAGAAACAGTACTACAATATTCTAGTTTAGAGTCTTGAGTAGTGCTGTATAATATAAAATATTTGTAAGAAACCAATTTTGTTGATTTACATGATTCATTAAATCCATGTAATTATATATAAACTAATCCATGAAAGAATGCAGCAAATGTCAAGATGAAGAGCAGCACTAAAAGTGCTATATGTACTTCAATGATATATTGGTTGTTTTCTACTAGTTCATAAGCAATTTTCATTACCTGCACATTTACCCAGCATCCTTTCCCAACAATAACCATGATAATAATTTCTATTTGTTTTCATTGGTTGTTTGCCTAACTTCCATTACAATGATAAGTTTAAAATTTCTACAGACGTTTGGTTGAATTAATGTGAATAAGTTTGGCAACATTTACAATAATTTAAAAAATGATCAAGTTCTCATGAAAATATTTATTTTGTACATAGTTTTTTAATGGTATGAGCTATTCAATTCATTGTTATAGATTATCATGCAACTTTGTTGGGAATTGTTGGTCAAGCTTTGTAATTTTAGAACTGGAAATTTGCCGTTTTCTTGAGGATTTTCACCAATTCTGCTAAATTCAACTGCATTAATATATCATCATGAGGTCAAAATACATGTAGCAAAATAAAGGCTAAATTAACCTCTTGAGCATGTTCAGATAAATCAGGTGACCAGGGTGACAATGCACAATTATTTCAAGGATTCATAAAATAAAATTGTTTATCATTCTCACAAAACACTCACTTATCATTCATGGTCCTTTAAAACAAACTTAAATTAGGAGCATAAACAAATTTCAACTGTTTAGGCTGTTGAGAAATTTGTTTTTTAAACAGAGTTATCTCCCATAGAGGCACACAGTACACTACAAACAAGGTGATTCATTGAATTTGCTTAGTATACATGAATACTGATGATTCTTGGTAACTTTGGTCTGTAATTGTCTTATCTGTGACTGTTTGGAACTTTACATACATGTATATGTTAACAGGTTTATATTGTTGTTAGTTATGGCCTAACCAATTTAAATAATAGGGCAAGTATATTTTCTCCCACATGTTCATGAATCAGGAGAATTTATTCAATAGTCCTGTAGTTTTAGATAGTAGAATGCAAGTGTTAAGTTCATAGTTTGTCTAGTAGAAAAACATGAAAGTAAGAAGCAATTTAATATTACTTTTTGTAGTAAGACGATGAATAAAAATCAAAACTTTACAGTAAAACAAGAAGGGAAAGGATTATATTCCAGCTGTCAAGAGAAAGCTTCAGATGAAAACTATGGCACAATGTCTCAAGAAGAAATGTACATGACACCAACTGGACAGATTTTTTCACCATCTGCAGCATTTTCTATCGGAATGTATCCACACAAGGACTCAATGGAGGACACTGTTATTAGAAGAACTAGGTCACTGATACCTCATTCTGTCAAATGTCAAATTATACAACTAGCCCAGGACAATCCAAGAATCACACAAGGAGAGATTGCACAAATGTTTGGTATAGACAGAACAACTGTATCCAAAATACTAAAACGAAGACATGAATTTTTGGAGGAATCAAAACATACCACAGACTCATGTTCACCACCAAAAATAAGCAAATCTGACACTGTGGTAAATGACACTTTATGTAAGTTTATAAATCTATGGTATATAGAAGCCAAAAAGAAAAATGAACGAGTAACACAGTCCATGGTAAAAGATATGGCACAAAGCATAGCAAAAAGTTATGGAGTTTCTCATCTGTCAGCTGATAGCAAATGGTTTGAGGAATTCTTTGTAAAGCACAATATCAAAGAATCTGGTGAGTTTTAAACAAAGGCAGTATCATTTTTTTTTCTTTGTTCGAAAGTTATAGAAGAAAGTCAATAGATAACATAATTTTTGCTTATGAAAACACACTGACATTTGTCTTATAACTATGTTAATAACTATAATCATGATAATGTTCTATGTGTGGTTTTTGCATTGATGTTTTTATAAATAATATTTGCATTTCTAATATTTACAATTTCTTTTCAAACGAAACATCAAATATTTGAACTATTAAAATAGTTTTGATGCATGACAATTCTGAATTGTATTGTTGACAAATGTAAGCATTGTAAGTGTGTTTTGATATTATGACTGCAGCAAACATGTTTTTAGAGTACATGTATCAGAATAACAAATATATTGAACCATTTGTTAATTACAAACTAGAAATTTGTACTTAAAATGTATTCCGTATATGTATGCAACTCTATTTTTTAAGTAGACATGCTATTTCTTATGGTGTTTGTAAAACAATCTCTTTGTTAAGGATACAAGCTATTTCAGATTGTGTTTGTGAAACAATTCATTTTTGAAGGATACATGCTATTTCTGATTGTGTTTGTGAGACAATCTGTTCGTAATACTGTTCTAGCTGTGCACATTTATCTTTCACTTTTTCTGTCACATGTTCTTGGTATGTCATCTCCTGATGAGCCTAAAAAGTAAATGGGGACTGAAATCATTATCTAGGACTAACCAAAATTTGCATTATCATGATTTTATATTGGAAGGACTCGTAAAAGTTTTTTAATATGCGTATATGTAAACTCTTTCAATGTAATTGTACATAGTTAGTGCTGTATCCAAAATACTAACCCCCTGCATCAATCAGGTCTTCGTGCAAATCAACTGAAAACTTAACTTAACAGTAAATGAAAAAGATATTACATTTGAAATCTTTCAAATTTGGTTCACGTTTATCAATTGTTGAGTAAAAAAAAATCATTTTAACAAAATGATGAAACAAAACTGCTGATATACTCATACCTGGTAGGTCCAGAAGGATAGAGCTCGGGTACAAATCTCCATAATGACCTCTGGCTTCTGTCCAGCAAGTACCATCTAAAAATACAAATAAACAGAACAATTTGACTAAGTTTGATCTACAAAAAAAAGTCTTTAAAAAGTGGATTGATATTTGTATGAAGTTAGTATAAAAGGATTTTTTTAATATATTTGGTGCAGACATAGAAGATCTGGTGGTAAAGAAAGAAGATCCCAGTTCCAGTGATGAACTTATTCTCATAGAGCCACCATATCAGTCTGTCATTGGTATGTATTCTCTTCTGAATTGGACAACAATAAAATTAAGTCAAGTAACTCTTTAATTATCATCTGGATACCCAACTTGTGATGGATGGATGAACTGGATGTGCATCAAATATAACTCCCTCTTTGGAGGTGGTGTATAGAACAGAATTTTCATTATTGATGAAGAAGAGAAATAACTTTGAAGAAATAACAACCAAGGGCACTAAACATGCTAAATGCCATTTGTTTTATAAATTATATTCATATACAAAAAATGTATAGGAAAAGTAAGTCAGTGCGTTTATATATCCAATAAGTCAGGCTCAATGTTGCCCCTAGTCTAGAAATGTATATAAAAATAGATTTTTACAAAGACTACCAAAGACCTGTCTTTGACAATTAATTCTTTATGAATACATACAGATTTGTACTGCTCTGAAGGCTGCAGGTCAATTCTTATAATATCAAGGTTTGTAGCTAATCTAGTTTCACCTTCAATAGAACACAAAAACAAAGATTGGCAATTTTTAATGCTGCATTTGATGTTGACAGTACAACTGACCACACAAACTACCAACAATCAACTCCTTTTAAACTCTTAACCTTATTCCTCTGTGTCATTTTAAAATGAAAAGTATATATTTATTATTTAAAATCATGCTTTGAAAATATAGTTACATATCTAACATCTAAGGATTGCATTTCAATTCAAAAGACTGCAGCTGGTAAAGTCAGAAATGAGCTGTGAAAAATTATAAGTTCAAATCAGGAGTAATAACAACAAAAAAACAGGTTAAAATATTTTACGTAGTCAGTTTTCTACACAACAGGTAGTGACTTACTATTTTAAGGCATAAGTTACATGTATAATACAATTTTTTATTAATATATTGAATCAGTCTATTAAACTTACATGCTGGACATTTGTAGCATTTAGTGAATTCTTTTGTTCCATCTTCATCACAAAAAATATCTGTGTCACTAATAAGGATTATGTTTTAAAATAATTTTAAGAAAGAAGATATAATTATAAAATTGGTTTTCATAACACAAAATATTTGCACTGTTTTATCATAAAACAGCGAATAAAGAAGACACTAAAAATTATCAGTTTTTTACACCATCATATTTTCATAAAAATTTAATATATATAATTCATTGTCAAATAATAAATTTCAGACAAGTTGACCTTAGATGAATATTCTTTTTCAGTCTCTTTTGGTCATATAGCTCATGGTATGTTTAAGTAGTTATCATCCTTTGTTTTAAATTTTTGAGGTTTGAGCGTTCCTGAAGAAGGTTAATTCAGCAAAGCACTTTGGACACATGAAGCTTATCTATAAGTGTCATTTTCATTTAATAGAGCATAACTGCTTATCAATACTCAGTGGTAAAAATATTGTAAAAGGATACGCGAACAGGAAGTCACCTAAAAAAGAAAATTTCTTTAAAACAACACCACATATATATGGCAACATGCGCCAATGATTTTTTAGAAGTTTAATTTTGATTTTTTGCAACAAATAGAAGATCCGTCATGTACAGGTTATAGGAATACAATCATGTCAGCCATTCAGTGAGTATATTCTGGTGTTCATGTGTGTGCTGATGAATGGGTTGGTGCATGTAAGAAAAAGAACAATACTAAAAGAGAGAGAGAAAATTTATTTTATATTTGAATACAAGATCTGGGGTAAAGGTTATTCAGTCAGCAGCCCATCCAAGTTAAGGGTTCAATAAACTCTCCTTTGCTGGTCAAATACCCACAACATAAGGCAAGCTCTAAATCCCACACATTCTAATCATTCTTTACAGCGAAACTGTGGAAATTTGTACTTAATACTGACGAGTGCTGTCCCCTGGCTTGATACCTATGCTTAATATCGATCAGATTTGAGACATAAAATCAGTTTACATATTTAGGTGTAAAACTTTTAAGTAAATTTAAGTTCATTGTTTTATGAACATGTTCAAATATGAACATTTGATGTAATAAATGTGTACATACAACATTGTGTACAATGGCATTAAGAAAGGGAAATGAGGTATGCAAATATATTTTTACTGCCACTGAAAATGAAATTATATCATGTATATAATGCATTTTACATGTTCATTGCTAAGGCAAAGGGGCTAAAATGTTGATGTACAACAGGCTACATATGCCTTTTGGGCCTGCGAAAATGAACTTAACAAATAGGCCTTATATTGGAGCTAGTATGATTTGCCTTATGTGTCAGTTGCTAATTTTACTTTAAAATAGGATTAAACATGCTTTAGTTGGAGTTTGTATGATTTTGATTCTGTATCAATCTTTTTCTTTTGTAGTCTAGACCTAAGACTTACCCATGCAAATGTATTTAATCTTTTCCTACATTTCTTGAAATTGCAAATCAAATCAGTATCCATAATATCTTAATCTTAAAAAACAAAAAAAATAATAAAGTTTTATGACTGTATAAGTACATGATTTAAAGTACAAAACAAAAATTCAATGCAATAGACAACTTTCGAATTCGTGCACTTTCCACACATCACAATGTTTATGTTATTACGTCACAGTAAGAACCGACTCTTCGATGATGTCGTTGACGCCAATTGACCCAGGTCAGCCGTTGTAACTCATTCATAAAAAACAACTCGATATTGGTGTATAAATTACAAATACTGCTATTTCCTTCAGCAACAAAAAAAAACCTATTTATTTGACAAAAAATGTTTATTTTTCTTGTATGTCATTGTAGTCACAGGACATCAGTAATTAACATTGAAGTCTTGTTTAAATGTATTCTATGCATACTCATGTACATGAAAGAGGACTAATATTAACACATGTGCTTTTGTTCTTAATTTTATAATGAGTATGTTAGTATATCACTATAATAGTGTTTTTATACGACCGCAAAAAAATTTTGTGGTCGTATATTGGTATGACGTTGGCGTCGTCGTCGTCGTCCGGCGTCGTCGTCCGGCGTCGTCGTCCGAATACATATTGGTTTTCGCACTCTAACTTTAGTTTAAGTGAATGGATCTTTTTGAAATTTGACCATAAGGTTAAATACCACAAAAGGAAGGTTGGGATTGATTTTGGGGGTTATGGTACCAACAGTTAAGGAATTAGGGGCCAAAAAGGGGCCAAAAATGAGCATTTTCTAGTTTCCAGACAATAACTGTGGAACGGTGTATGGATCTCTCTGAAATTATACTACAAGTTTCCATACCACAAAGGGATGGTTAGGATTTGCTTTGGGGGGTTATGGCTCAAACCGTTTAGGAATTAGGGGCAAAAAAGGGGGAAAAACAAGGTTGTCCTGGTTAATGGACAAATACTTTAGTACAAAACATAATTTAAAGCAGTGTAAGGGAGATAAATCAAATACATCATTGAAATTATCTCCCTTACACTGCTTTTAAATTATGTATAAAGTAATGGTTAATGAACAATAAAGATAATCTAAAACAGTGTAAGGGAGGTAATCCAAATACAATGTTTTGGTTACTTCCCTTACACTGCTTTTAAATTATGTTTAAAGAAATGCATATTTATAAAGGAAGACCAGTAAAAATATCTGCAAATGTTTTCATCTTTTTTTTTTACAAAAAAATCCATATGAAAGATTTGACACTATATTTTTATTAATTCTATTATAAAATAGATTAAGTTAGCACTATGGTAAATTTAAATGGGTAATTATGGTTGCCAACTCCATTGGAAATTTGAATTGAGATTATGACCATATCTTGAGGGAAAGAATTTTTTTGGGGGAAAAAGGGGGGGGGGGGGATAAAAAGAAATTGTGGGGGGCCAATTTTTTCTCATTTCAGATTTCAGAAATTAAAAAGAATTATTCTTCAAATATTTTTTTTTTTTCAAATTTCAAATATTGAAAAATTTCAAGAAGTAATCTTTAATTGCACAGTATGGCGCATTAGATTTGTAAAATCTTTGATCACATTTATTTATTTGTTATGCCGAATCTAACAGTGTATTTAGATTTTTAATTTTGGGTCCAGTTTTCAAATTGGTCTACATTAATGTCCAAAGGGTCCAAAATTAAACTTTGTTTGATTTTAGCAAAAATTGAATATATGAGGTTCTTTGATATGCTGAATCTAAACATGTATTTAGATTTTTGATTTTTGGCCCAGTTTTCAAGTTGGTCCAAATTGGGGTCCAAAATTAAACTTTGTTTGATTTCAACAAAAATTGAATATATGGGGTTCTTTGATATGCTGAATCTAACCATGTATTTAGATTTTTTATTTGTGGACCCCGTTATCTAATTGGTTCATATTGAGGTCAAAAGGGTCCAAAATTAAACTTTGTTTGATTTCATCTAAAATTGAATTATTGGGGTTCTTTGATATTCCAAATCTAACCGTGTATTTAGGTTTTTAATTTTGGGTCCTGTTTTTTAAATTGGTCTACATTGAGGTCCAAAGGGTCCAAATTAAACTTAGTTTGATTTTAACAAAAATTGAATTCTTGGGGTTCTTTGATTTGCTGAATCTAAACATGTGTTTAGATTTTTGATTATGGGCCCAGTTTTCAAGTTGGTCCAAGATAGGGTCCAGTATTTAAACTTTGTTTGATTTCAACAAAAATTGAATATATGGGGTTCTTTGATATGCTGAATCTAAACATGTATTTAGATTTTTGATTATGGGCCCAGTTTTCAAGTTGGTCCAAATTGGGGTCCAAAATTAAACTTTGTTTGATTTCAACAAAAATTGAATATATGAGGTTCTTTGATATGCTGAATCTAACCATGTATTTAGATTTTTTATTTGTAGGCCCCGCTATCAAATTGGTTCATATTGAGGTCAAAAGGGTCCAAAATTAAACTTTGTTTGATTTCATCGAAAATTGAATTATTGGGGTTCTTTGATATGCCAAATCTAACCGTGTTTTTAGATTTTTAATTTGGGTCCCGTTTTTTAAATTGGTCTTCATTGAGGTCCAAAGGGTCCAAAATTAAACTTAGTTTGATTTTAACAAAAATTGAATTCTTGGGGTTCTTTGATATGCTGAATCTAAACATGTGTTTAGATTTTTGATTATGGGCCCAGTTTTCAAGTTGGTTCAAGTTGGGGTCCAAAATTATACTTTTTTTGATTTCAACAAAAATTGAATATATGGGGTTCTTTGATATGCTGAATCTAACCATGAATTTAGATTTTTTATTTGTGGGCCCCGCTATCAAATTGGTTCATATTGAGGTCAAAAGGGTCCAAATTAAACTTTGTTTGATTTCATCAAAAATTGAATTATTGGGGTTCTTTGATATTCCAAATCTAACCGTGTATTTAGATTTTTAATTTTAAGTCCCGTTTTTTAAATTGGTCTACATTAAGGTCCAAAGGGTCCAAAATTAAACTTAGTTTGATTTTAGCAAAAATTGAATTCTTGGGGTTCTTTGATATGCTGAATCTAAACATGTGTTTAGATTTTTGATTATGGGCCCAGTTTTCAAGTTTGTCCAAGTTGGGGTCCAAAATTAAACTTTGTTTGATTTTAACAAAAATTGAATATATGGGGTTCTTTGATATGCTGAATCTAACCATGTATTTTGATTTTGGACATTGGACCATAATAGGTAAATTAAAAAAATTCAAGTTCTTAGACCACATTCTTTCTGTGTCAGAAACCTATGCTGTGTCAAATATTTAATAACAATCCAAATTCAGAGCTGTATCAAGCTTGAATGTTGTGTCCATACTTGCCCCAACTGTTCAGGGTTCGACCTCTGCGGTCGTATCAAGCTGCGCCCCAGCGAAGCATTTTATTAAAAATAGTCTAATAAGATATTATAATCAGCAATCTGACTCACAACTACAAAAAATCATATCTGGAGCTGTGGACAGTAAACTGATGCTTTTCTGTAATATTTTTGTTCCAAATTTTGTTCCCTTCTATCTTCAAACCAATCTTAATACCAAAAATATAAAAACTAAAATTACACAACTATGTATCAGTGCCACAGGCACTTGTCTCTGAATTTTTTTTCCCTATATACCTTAATATAACACATGTAATTTAAAGGTATAAATAGGATTTTTTTTCAGAGGCAAGTGCCTGTGATCAGTGCTCAGTGTTTAAATATAGAACAGGGTAAATATATTAAACCCTAATTCAAAGTGGAGAACGTTTTTGCAAATTTTGCACTGAAGTAGAGACAGAAGAACATTTTTATACAATCGCAAAAAAATTTGCGGTGGTATATGGTATCACGTCGTCGGCATCAGCGTCGTCTGAAGACATTTGGTTTCTGGACAATAACTTCAGTATAAGTAAATAGAAATCTATGAAATTTAAACACAAGGTTTAAAACCACAAAAGGAAGGTTGGGATTGATTTTGGGGGTTATGGTCCCAACAGTTTAGGATTTAGGGGCCAAAAAGGGGCCCAAATAAGCATTTTTCTAGTTTCAAGACTATAACTTGTGGAACAGAGTATGGAAAGTTGTCAGCTAGTTCTAGTATGAATTATTTTTTAGCTGTTCCTAGAAACATCAAATACTGTGATGGCTCCTGACTTGGGACAGGCGCAAAAATGCGGCGGGGTTAAACATGTTTTTTGAGATCTCAACCCTTCCTCTATACCTCTAGCCAATGTAGAAAAAACAAACGTACAACAGTACGCACAGTAAAACTCAGTTTAAGAGAAGTCCAAGTCTGATGTCAGAATAGGAAACAAAATAAAATAAACAAAATGACCATTATACATACTACTAGCAGTTACTGACATGCCAGCTCCAGACCTCAATTAAACTGATTGAAAGATTATGTCTTCATCATATGAATATCAGGCACAATCCCTCCTGTTAGGGGTTTGTTTATTTGTGATCAATATCATTTGTTTGGGTTTTTTTAAGCATTAAGAGTTACCTCCCTTACAATGGTTTTGTTATAAAGAAATGTTGTATTGTCTTGAGGTGATTAGCTGTCAATTTATTTTTATACGACCGGATTGATTTTGGGGGTTATGGTCCCAACAGTTTAGGATTTAGGGGCCAAAAAGGGGCCCAAATAAGCATTTTTCTAGTTTCAAGACTATAACTTGTGGAACAGGGTATGGATCTCTCTGAAATTATACCACAAGTTTCCATACCACAAAGGGATGGTTAGGATTGACTTTGGGGGGTTATGGCTCAAACCGTTTAGGAATTAGGGGCAAAAAAGGGGGAAAAACAAGGGTTTCCTGGTAAATGGACAATCTAAAAGCAGTGTAAGGGAGGTAATCCAAATACATTTAAAGTATTGAAGAAAAAAATTTGGATTACCTCCCTTACATTGCTTTTAAATTATGTATAAAGATGTTGTATTGTCTTGAGGTTATTAGCTGGCAATTAATTTTTAGAAGTTACTATTAAAGGAATATTAATTTTAGCCATGATTATGTATGTCGTTTTCTATTTTATGACTTTTATGATGTATTTAAATTGGTAATTATGGATGCAAACTCCATTGGAAATATGAATTAAGATTATGACCATATCTTGAGGGAAAGAATTTTTGTTTTTGGAAAAGGGGGGGGGATTGGGGGAGTGAGAAAAAAATTGGGGGGTAAAAAAGAAATTGGGGGGGGGGGGGGGGCAATTTTTTCTCATTTCAAAAAATAAAAAGAAAATTTCTTCAAATATTTTTTTTTTGCAAAATAAAAGGGGGGAGGGGGTCAATACGCAACAGCACAGTGTATTGCACAAAAGCAAAAAATTGAATATAAAATCAAATCATATAACCAATTCTAAGTTCTTTGACTACAGTTATTCTGTGTCAGAAACCTATTATGTGTCAAATATTTAATTACAATCCAAATTCAACCTGTATCAAGGGCGAATATTGTGTCCATTTTTGCCCCAACTGTTCAGGGTTGGACCTCTGCAGTTGTATCCAGGTGTGCTTGGCGAAGCAATTTATTTGATTTCTTGTCATAAACATAAAGATATAAAGCAAACTCTTTTTCAATGTTATGGTTTAGATTTGAAAGATTCACATAATAATTATTTTTCAGCAGAGACATATATTATATACTATCTATATGTCTCTGTTTTCAGTTTCTAAACTTTTAAATCCACAAAATATTAGTAAATGTAATTATTTATACAAATTCGTTAGAGATGCATTGGAAAAAAGAAACAATTCTTAAAATTAATTATTATATACTACATGTAAAACTTTGAAATGTTGTTTTGTAAATTATCATATGATTTGTAACGGAGAACACTATCTACTATTAGTTATTAGTCCCCTACCGACGAAGTCGAAGGGGACTTTAGGTTTGCACTCAGTCTGTCTGTCTGTCCTGCTGTCAGTCCGGCAAATCAGCTTTCCACACTTTTTTTCTTCGTTCTTGAAGATATTGATTTGATATTTGGCATATAGTTTTATCATGACAAGTTATAGATCAAGTTCAAATCTTGTTCCGGTCTGATGATTTAATCCAGAGTTATGGACCATAACTCTGGACCATATCTAATGTTAGGGTACTATGTTAAACCATATTTCTGTACAAAGGGAGATAACTAATTTTTTAAAAGACATTCTTTGTTCAATTATTTGAAGAATTTTTTGGTAGGTTTGTTAGTAATAGTTATTTAGTATAAACTAATTTTCTGAATGCTATATATATATAAAAAAAGAATATGAAGAGAAATCTATTAATTAGATAATAATCTATTTTTATTATGCATATATTTCAATACATTACATTGTGTAGATAAAAGTTGTTGACATTTTATAGATAAGTTACAAATCTATAATAGTTTGTGACAAATGAGAGAAAAAATATTTGGAACTATTAATTACATTTGATTATAATTTGAAAATAGATATACACTGCATTACATTATATCTAATTTTAGAGAACTATTAATCATATCTAATGTTTTTTTCATCATGCTTATGGTATTTATTGATAATTGGTATATAGTTTTATCATGACAACTTACAGATCAAGTTCAAATTTTTGTTTCTGTCTAATAATTTTGTGCAGAGTTATGGTCCTTGGACTTGAAAAATTCACTCATATATATTAATCAGTTTTCCACACTGTTTTTAGTCATGCTTGAAGATATTGGGAATTTGGTTTTTCAATTATAGTACTTTAATAAGGGGACGAAGTCCCCTATTACAGTAGAAAAATCAAACAAAAAAAAACAAAAAAAAAATCAAATTTTAAAATTTTCCCGCAATAAAATCATTCTACTAATTAACTCAAAATCATTAACTTTTTATTTTCTAACTTTTTTTTTTCCCACATTTGCGAAGAAATCTCCTTCCTCCTTCTTGTCTCGTTTTTTATGAGACTTTGAGTAAAATATATATTTCAGTCTAGTAAAATATAGGAAGGAGCACAATAACAATTTCATTTTTAATAATTTTTTATATGAAAAAACGTTACCTGATGATAGCGTTTCTTTGTTTACATTGAAAATGACGTCATAACTTACATGAAGTCACAATTAAAATCCCTAAAAACAGGACCAAAATAGGAAACGTTACGATATTTCCTTTTCTATTTTGAACAGATTTTGAAGTTAAAATCTGTTTGAATTGAAAAAATAATTCATAATATGACATATGGACTTTGTCCCCATTCACAGGTAATGCCTGCCTCATATTATGTCTTCATTTCGTAAACTTGAGTTAGAAATATAATTGTTTCAGCTTTAAACCTCAACTTCTCAAGATATTATAAAAATCAATCACTCTTGAACATGAAATCGTCTGCTTTAGTATAGATCAGTGTTTGGGGAGTTTTTGAAAGAAGAAGTATTTTACCCATCTTTAAAGCGTTCGTATGATTTCGGGAAACAAATTTTTCAAAGGTCAAGGTTAGCAAATATGTCAGGGTGGGCTGGCTTTACGGATGAAGATTTGAAACGTGTCAGAAAGTTAAAAGTTGAAAAAAGTGATGAAGACAACTCTAGCAAAAGTATGTTGTCAATTTTTCCACAAAATTCTGCCACACATCCAACAACAAAACTAATATGTGTTCAATCACCTGCTTATCTTCATCCGTTCATTTTGGGACAACCTCCATCTCAGAGTGGAATATGTACATAACATGCATAATGTCATTAAATATATATAAATATAAGTTGTCAATCATAACCAACACTGTACAGTTTTTATGCCCCCGCCGTATTGGAGGGGGCATTAATTTCTCAAGCTTTTATGTACACGTACATACACATCAGAGTCATGCCCACATCACCATTACGGTCCACAGACCTGCCAACTTTTGAAAATCTCCATGGGGGATTTAGTGCGAGACCAGATTTTTAAGGGTTACAATTTTTGAGGTGTTTCTGTGTGCACTGTTTATTACTCTTGAAATAGTCTCATATTTCTTCTTTTTTCGTGTGGTATACTGATGATGAGCTAATAAGCCTTGATTTCTTTTATTTGCATGATTCTTGTACTTTTTAATTGGTAATATAACTTAATAGAGAAAAATGGCCTAAAAAAAATAAAGGATACAAAGTGAAGACCCCCTTTTCCCCCTCCAAAGATCTTCTTATGATCCAAATGAGAAAATCACTCCAGACACAGAATCCTGAAAGGGATTAGCTGCCCACATTATCATACCCTATTGTATTAATTAGATATAAGAAGTTATGGTATGAGTGCCAATGAGACAATTATCCATCCAAGTCACAATTTATAAAAGTAAACCATTATAGGTCAAAGTACGGTCTTCAACACTGAGCCTTGGCTCACATCGCACAGCAAGCTATAAATGGCCCCAAAAATTACTAGTGTAAAACCATTCAAACTGGAAAACCAACGGTATAATCTATATAAAAAACGTGAAACGATAAACGCTTGTGAACCACATCAACAAATGACAACTACTGAACATCAGATTCCTGACTTAGGACAGGTGCAAACAATTGCAGCGGGTTTAAACGTTTTACAGGTACCAAACCTTCACCCTTATCTGAAACAATAGTGTAACATCACAACATAGAAAGACACACTATAAAATATCAATTGAAATGGCTTAGCTCAATCAAAAGACATATTAACACAAGTGAACATACACCCTGAACGAATAAATTTGATCTATGTCAGATACAATGTAAATACAAAATCAATAAAATAAGGGATGAATAATTAAAGTAACAGTATTATACCGCTGTGAAATGTTAAACAATTTCAGAAAAACAACAATAACCTTAAACAAAAATCCGCCATTAACTCTATTTAGGAAATTTGTTTATCAACTACGTTACCTCAACATGGTGCATTATATGCCTTCTGCACCATTCTTTATATAATTTTCTTTCTGAATGAAGATCCTCATTCATGTCATCATAATAAAATATGATGATGATTGGAAAATAAATTATCATTGATTGTATTTTTGGCTAAATGTATCTTGAAACTGGTTCAGTGTTTATCTTTCCTGACAAATTCCATTCTCTTGTTTACAGCTTTAAGGATTGAATATTGTAGCCATTCAAAACATGTTCAAGCCAATCATGTCAGTATCTTTTTTTACAACAATATTTTTTTTTATCTACAGATTTCCGAGAATCACCACCAAGAGTAGCCAGTTTTGGTAAGAGACCAGGAAACAGAGCTTCTCACACTGCCACATCACATTCACAGTATGGCCAAAACAGACAGTCTGTTTCAACAAGTCCTACATCTACTGTTACTAGTTCAGCCTCCCGACTGGGAACAGGAAATAAAATACCCAGGGTTCAAACAGAGACTGCAGACACCACAAGAGATGATTTATTAGATACCAGAAAGGAAATAGAGGAACTGGAAACAAATGAAGCAATAAGGTAAATTTTCCTCTGCTGATATGTCTTAACCCAATGCATTTTTAAATTTTAATATATATTAAATTATTTCAGCTTTAACAACCACATGGTCTTCCTGGGTTAAATCCCTAGCTTGGTCAAACCAAAGATTTTAAAGTTAGTGTTTGTTTCTTCTCCACTAAGCATGCAGAAGTAAGGAGTAAGAGCAAATACTTGTTGACTTAGTCAGAATTACATGTTTGGGTAGGGTAGTCCTGAGGACAATTAATTACCTTGTGAGCTAGCAAGTTAAATTCCTGCTTAGCATGTAGGTCTAGAGTACAAAGTAATGTTCATATTCATAAATATATTGCAATGGTATGGTCTTGTCCTGACTATGCATTTAATTTGCCACTGGGCATTAAACAGCCATCCATTATTCATTATCATCCTGTTCTAACACATGAAAATTGTACTAATTCAGATATTTAGAAACAAGTGTACAATAAAACATGGTTGGCACCTTCAAACATGTTTTACCTCACCATCTTCTTTATGTGCCTGTCCCAAGTCAGGAGTCAGTAGTTCAGTGGTTGTTGTTGATTCATGTCTGTCATATTGTTTTTATATAACTACAAAAAAATTGCGTTCATATAATGCTATCACGTCGTCGTCCAAAGACATTTGGTTTCCAGACAATAACTTGAGTTTAAGTTTATGGATCTCTATGAAATTTATGTAAAAGGTTCAATACCACAAAAGGAGGGTTGGGATTATTTTTGGGGATGATGGTCCCAACCATTTAGGAATTAGGGGCCCAAAACAAGCATGTTTCTAGTTTCAGGACAATGACTTGTGTATAAGTATTTTGATTGCTCTGAAATTGTACCACAAGATTTTTTTGGGGGGTCAATTTTTTTCCTCAAGATTTAAGAAATTATAAATTTTCCAAAAAAAAATTAGGGGTCACAATTTATTTTGCTAATTCTTTGTATATAGACTGAAAACAGATTTACTAAGCATTGTGCAACAGCACAGTGTATTGCACAACAGCAAGAAATCTTCAATTGAATATAAATTCAAATCATATAACCAATTTCAAGTTCTTTGACTACATTTATTCTGTGTCAGAAACCTATAATGCGTAAAATTTTTAATTGCAATCCAAATTGAGACCTGTATCAAGCTTGAATATTGTGTTCATTTTTGCCCCAACTGTTCAGGGTTGGACCTCTGCGGTCGTATACAGCTGCGCTTGGTGAAGCAGTTTATTTATGAATTGTTTTGTTATAAATTAGACCGTTAGTTTTCTCAGTTGAATCGTTTCGCATCTTTCATGTCAGGGTCTTTTAAAGAGTACTATATGGTTGGGTTTTCTCATTATTGAAGGCCATATGGTTGCCTATAATTGCTTATATCCACTTCATTTGAACTTTGGTGGATAGTTGTCTCATTTTCAATCATACTACATCTTCATATTTTTATGTTTTTATCACAAAATAAATGTACTTTAAAAAGACTTTATTATTCTTTTAATGTGTGAAAGTTACTTTTAAAAATGTTTATTTGAATTAATGAGTTTGTGAATTACATTTTTTTATGAGTTTGAATTTAATGTTATTTTGCAGAAGGGAAATGGGAAATCTAGACAAATTCAGAGAACAACAGAAGGTGATGGAGGAAGTAAACAAGCAAAGAAAAGCATTGTTATCTAAAACTTTGTCTGAAAGGTAAATGATTTGTTCAGGTACCCAACTAATTAATTTAATTTATATACAGGTATACTTGTATCACAAATAAGAGAAGTAAATTTTAAAGTTTACCTTCCCTCTTTCTTACTTAGTGGATAAAAATATATTTAATTGAGAGCAGTAAAACTTCAGTTTCTGGACAAACAAAAATCTTATATGGTGCTATGTATACAACTGTTAAAATTTAAATACATAATTAGGCTCTCTCTTATTTCTATGATTGCATGATTCATATTAACTGTTTTCTAAAGGAATACAAATAAAATGTTAATCTAATGAAATCTATGAATCTTAAATAGAGTGTGATACTTGCATTTTTGATTGGTCAGTATGAATAGAATGAGTACTTTTACAAATGCACCACCAAAAACTTTAAAAGGCAATTTCCTTGATATTGACTGAAGAGAAAATGTGATTTGAAAAAGGTATTGCTAATAACATCAGATAGATTGGAATATGGCTGTGAAATTGTGTGTAATTTGCATCATTTGGGTACCATGTATGTAACGATAGAACAGCCCTAAACCAAAACGTACATTTTGCAGCTAAATCAAATGTCAGTTCTATATGTAATACCTACTAGAAAAAAAGAGTTTTCTCATTTGTAAAGTGAACTATAAATTCTTTATTTACTTAAAAAAATGAAAAGAAAACTGTTGTCTGCTCTATGGTCGGGTTGTTGTCTCTTTGACACATTCCCCATTTCCATTCTTAATTTTATGGTTCTACAGGCATCGTTATTTTTCCTACTCTGTGATTCAATTTGCTAGTATTGACATTTGTTCTTGCCAGTAGTGAACAGTTTTGACCTATATTGATTAAATCCTCTATTGAATAGTTGCATCATTGGTAATAATACCACACTCATGGTGAAACATAACATTAACACAAAAACCTGGTTTCAATTAGTTACGGTAATCTATTGTTTTTAATACACACTCAGATATTTGTCAACATACATCTTTTTGAAACTTTTTATTTTACTGAAGGCCTCACATGAGGCATGATAGTAAAAACAAACAATATAAATAAAACATAATGCATATTACATTTTAAAGTAAACATCTATAATCTATAATTGAATTTATTTTTGAGTTATCTCCCTTACATCAGGTGGCTGAATACTAGATATGGATTTAAAAAATCATTTTTGGGAAAAGGGTACAAATAAATATAAAGTTTAGATCATATAGAAATTAAATTCATATATCAATGTCGTATTTCATGTATACATATCATTTTTAACCTTTAGAAAAATTGTAAATTAAGCAAAGGAACTAGACAATAAAAGTCAACAACAATCAGACATCGGTGTTACCCATGCTAAAAATATAACAGGAGTCTCAACTATTTTGTTATATTTTTTCAGGCAAAAAAAAGCACAAGAGGAAGCAAGAAAACTGGCACATATACAGAGAGAATTGATGATCTTAGATAACCTGTTAACAGCAGATGTTAATGTGATAAGAAGTCGTATTGAAATTGCCAGCAGGGAGTTTCTGGATGCACAGTTAGTATTTATACAGATAAATATATCTTAGGGTTGGGATAAGCCTGCCTTATGCTGTGTTTAGCTAAATTTAGACTTTTTTAATTGGTTCAAGATAGGAAAGAAAAGATGCACTAAAAGTAGCTGCCAGTTTTTATACGCCCGTTTACGGGACTATGGTATACCGTTGTCCGTCTGTCCATCTGTCGTCAACATGTTGGACAATAACTCAAAAACGCTTTAACCAATTTGCATGAAACTTTGGTGAATTTGTTATATTTATTGATGTGAGCTCCCTTTTGATTTTTATGAAGTTTGGATTAAATGTTTCTGAGTTATGGGGTTTTATTCATTAAAAAAGGGTGATTTTCCAGTTTTCGGACAATAACTCAAAAGTTCTTTGAGCAGTTTTCAGGAAACTTAGGTGACTTGTTTATATCTATTAAAATAATCTCCATTTAGTTTTTATAAATTTCTGATATGACATTGAGGAGTTATGGAACTTTATTCTTTGTAAAAGCGGCAGGCGTACCATGCGCTCATGGCACAGCTCTTTATATGTGCTATCTGTTGATATAGAAATAAGAATTAGAGATGTGTTATGATTGCAATGAAACAATAATCCACAAGAGACCAAAGGAAATGTTAAAAGAGGGAAAAAAAAACAGCCTGATATTTGTTCAAAACAATAATCCCCCCAAAAAAACGAAACATGAAAGGCAGCAACCAACCGTATCCACTTGATAGCAGGCATTTAACAAGTGACAGGCACTTATACCAAGGACACAAAGCACTGATCTCAGAAGCTGGCAGATTACTGATAGCTATAAAACCCTAATTTTAACTTGTGAATAAATCAGGTTTCCCTAGAATAGAATACCAATAAGTTCACCTCTAACTGAGATATTGAGTTTGCTTTTATAGTTTTTGTCTCGCCTGCTTTTCCGGCGACAATGTTAACAATTGTTAAGTTTTCTGCTTAAGTTAGTTTGATAGGAACTACTTGTGATAGATCATTGATATTTAATATAAAGTTGCATTTTTATCAGAACATATCAGTTTGACGACTATTTTGAGTCCCTGCCCCCTAGAACATGATCCATTGACTTTGAATTAATAAGCAATTTTCAATGTTAAGTTTACAGCTTAAGTTATTTTGAAAGAATCTACTTGTGATAGATCAATGATATTTTGTATGAAGTTGCATTACTATCAGTACATATCAGTTTGATGACTTTTTTGAGGCCTTGCCCCCTAGGACATGGTCCAGTGACTTTGAAATAATTAGCAATTTTCAATGTTAAGTTTGCTTCAGTTTGTTTGATAGGATCTACTTGTGATAGATCAATGATATTTTGTATGAAGTTGCATGACTATCAGTTCATATCTGTTTGATGACTATTTTGAGGCCCTGCCCTGCCCCTAGGTCATGGTCCAGTGACTTTGAAATAATTAGCAATTTTCAATGTTAAGTTTTTCTGCTTAAGTTTTATATTGTTAGGAACTATTTACAATATACATTGATATTTTTAACCGGATTTTCGAAGGAGTTGTCTTTTTTTTTTTTGTCATGTGTGTTTTGAAGGTAGAATCTACCGTAGATGTTGCAGTTGTTATGTGGTATTCTATTTTTGTTGTGTGTGTTAATGTTAAATTTTGACTTGATCCTGTTTGGGTGTCCAGATTTGCAAATAGCATTTTCATTAGATAATAATCTATTTTTATTAAAGGATTTATTTCATTACATTACATTACATTGTGTAGATAAAGTTGTTGACATTGATAGATAAGTTGCAGATAAGATATCAGTTTGTGACAAATGAAAAAAAAATATTGGGAACTATTAATTATATTTGATTATAATTTGATAACATACTGTAAATTCAGAAATTATTGCGATGTTTTTATTATTGCGAAAAATGCGACAGGGTTATAATCGCAATAATTTAAACTCGCATTTTGAAATTTTTTATATGAATTAAACAGGATTTTTCTCAATATCGCAAAAATTAAAATCGTATTTTAGTCTAAAATGACAAAATCGCAATAATAAATGCACGCAATAATTTCTGAATTTACAGTATCTAATTTTAGATTTGCATTACTGGTTCATAAAAACAAGTTTGAGTTATTTCCCTTCGAACATAAATTGTTTTTATTAATAAGTATTTCATCAAAAATTGAATTTTTGGGGTTCTTTGATAAGCTGATTCTAACAATGTACTTAGATTTTGGATATTGGGCCATAATAGGTAAATGTCGAATTTCAAATTTTTCAGTTCTTTGACCACATTTATTTTGTGTCACAAAATTTTTATGTTGTATCAAATATTCAATCACAATCCAAATTCAGAGCTGTTTTAAGCTTAACTGTTGTGTCCATACTTGCTCAACTGTTCAGGGTTCGACCTCTGCAGGAAAATCCGGTTTGCTGTCACTCTGACAGCCTCTTGTCTATAAAGTTACATTACTGTCTGAACATCTCAGTTTGTCGACCATTTTCAGACCCTGATCATGGTCCAGTGACTGAATTAATAAGCAATGTTGCTGTCCATCAGATTGTCTTTTTCTGAATTTTATGCCGATAGGCAAGACATATCTCTGTGTCAACAGTTTACAATATATGTGTATTGTTAAGTTCAGGTAAATTCCATATTAAAAGAAATTTTGCTAAGGCTGTTCCAAAATTTATCAGGTGGGAAGATAGGAGGCACTCAAAAAATAATTAAATATGGGCAGTTGCATTTTCTTTTAAATTTTGTAAGAATTTAAAGTAAAATAAACATTTTTATTTATAAGTGGTCGGGGTCTTTTAAAGGTGTCTCCCATCCCCCACCAACACCATGTGTTTAATTCCGGAACAGCCTGTACTTCAATTATTTTAAACTGTAGCCCTGATAATTAAGATTTGACGGAGATTATGCTATATTAACTTATTTGTATATCTTGCAATTAATTTGCAGCCAAATCATCATAATTGACCTATTTTATTTTACAGAAAAAGATATGAAAGAGCAGAAAAAGAGTTTGTGGATGCTAAAGTTGATCTTCAGAAGAAATCTGAACAGAAAGAATCGTTGACAGAACATCTTTACACAATTATACATCAAAATGAACTTAGAAAGTCTAATAAATTATCAGAACTGATGAAGGAACTAGAAATGGAACAAAATAATGAATCTCAGGTTCTCCCCACTTTACCCCCTCTGTCGTCATTTAATACAATGTCATCCGGAGATACCATACACTCCCCAAAGTCACCCCCACATTCAACAACTACAACAAACCAACCATCGGAAAATGTGAATCAAGACCAAGTAGGTTCAACAAATCTTTCTTCACAAAATGTGAATCTGTCTGCAGCAACTGAAAATGTGAATACATTGAAAGATGTGAAGGAAGGGGAAAATGTACAATCTAGTCATGAAAATCTGGAGCAAAACTTTCAGAGTGACAAAAAAACTGTTGATGTTTTGATAAACAATGAAAAAGTGAATGAAAGACAGACTGCACAGTGCTTACCTACAAATGAACTGTCAGAAAAAGAACATGAGAAGGATAAAAGTGCAATATTGACAACCAATGAAAAAATTCAGAGTATTGATACTACAATAAACCTTACTGATTCTTCTGAAGACTCAGGTAAAAATACTGCCCAGAATCTCATATCTATATCACCTATAAATATTGGTGGTGTGACTGACAGTCAAAACAGTGAAGACTTACCTGGTACCTGGTCATTAGATGTTGTACAAAAAGACAATGGGCATTGAAACCTGGTATCAGGTCATTAGATGTTGTAAGGGCATTGAAATGTAATCATTATTTAGGTTGTTTTATTGCTGGTTATTTGTAAAACAAATAGAGGATTTGATAACTGCTATTATAATTTGTAAAATAGAATGGATACTTTATTAGCAAATTGTATAAATGAATTCTTAGTTGGAATTGTCTCTTGATCATGAAAACTCATTTACCAGATAAAGGATTTATTTACAATCACATTTGTAAAGAAGTATGATTTGTCCACCGACAGTTTTTTAAGGGCTCTGATACAATATTTTAATTAAAATTCTATAAGATTGATCTTTGACAAATGAGTTAAAAAAAAAACACATGCTAATGGTAGCCAGACTAACCCTAATTATTGAGATCCAGACAAAGAGGTTCAAACTAGACAATTTTCTTTGTTAGTTGAAGCAGTTGATTGTCAAGTTAGAATTAAAGGTACAAAAGTATATTGGGTGAATGTGCACTGGAAGTGTGTTTCACTGTGATACATTACACTTCACAGAGTGTTGTAGCTTGTTTTATAATGTTCTTTGCATTTCTGAGGGCATTTTATTTTCTGAACAAAGAATTTGATATACATGTATAAGTTATAAGTATTTTAGAACTTCTGTTATAAAAAAGTGAGTATACTTAACTGTTAACCAACCAATTGCCGCAACTTTCGTGTGTAGAAAAATTTAAATCTTTTGTGAATATGATCAATTTGGGTCTTCTCTCATATAAATACATCAAGCAAATCAGAAAATCACGAAAATAAATTTCTAAAAGGTATTGGGGAAAATAAGTTGGTTTACAGCATTTCCTCAAATTTTGTCATCTTACATGATGAAATATTCCTAGAAGGATAGCGTATACATATTCTTTCAGGAATTAGAACAACATCAGTATATAGTTTCAAGCAAATGGCCAATTACTTGCAAATGTATAAGGCTATGGTCAGATTATCATACATGATTATGAAAAACAGAATTTTAAAGTTGTTAATCACATGAACTGACTATTAAATTTCAGGTCCTGAATATTATATAATACAACATATTTGCGATATTCATGAAATGTTGGGCCATATTATTTTCATTGTTGCTGACTGTCAAATATATGTATGACTAATTTGCATTGTAGGTCATATTGTCATAAAAATGAAAACGACAGCATGGCCATAGTTAAATTTCTTAGTGCTATGAGGGTTATTGATAAATATATATTAAAGTTTATATATTTTGTGATTGTTTTGATTTATTTATCTATATCTGACTTTAGTCATATACTTACATTATATTAATAATTTTACTGTACAAGGTTCTAGAAAAATAAAATATTTAAAATTTTTAGATGATACCAATAAGTTTTACCTTCTTCATCTGTTAGATTATCTTATGATTTGTTACTGTACTTTTTGGGTAAAGATTGCATGAAATGTAATCAAAACCCTATGGTACTGTGTGACATCATGTCTTCCAAGGTTTATCACAACCTTTGATAGTTCAAACAAAACAGTGCAGTGAAGTGATCATTACTTAAGCGATCCTATCCAGCCAATGTCATGCAATTTATTGATATGTTATACTTTGATATTCAAGTTACAATATGATGTATTCCATACTTGTCAAGAAAACACTTTTCTATTGAAAATATCATAAGTAATGCATGGTGTATGAATCTTTTATAAATATAAGTTCAACTACAAATGTACAATCATGAACAAAGGAAGATAACTCCAACTCAAATTTTAATTTGCCTAGCAAAATACAATCCAATGTTTTATTAAAATCTCATAAAATAGACTAAAGGATTTGTAAAGTAAAGTAAAGACTGGTTTGTGTGGGAGTTGCGGTAGATGGAGAGAAATTTGTGAAAGCATGAATAGTAAACATAATAAGATCTACAATTAAGTCAACATGGATGAAATTGTCAATGGAATCCTTATAGGAGTTATTGTCCTAACAAATGTTGTTTACCCATTTTTGTCTCGCCTTGACTGAGTCAAAAAGCGAGACATAGGTATGCTGTTTCTGGCGGCGGCAGCGGCGTCTACAATGTATTAGTTTGTGATTAGGTCAGATTATGGGGAACCACTAGTGGTAGGTCAATGATATTTGGTATGCAGTTGTATAAGCATTGGCATATCTCGTTTCCATGGAAAATATTTGGCCCACTCCCTCAGTCATGGTCTATTGACTTTGAAACTTTGCTTACCGGTAGTTTATATGTATTAGTTTGTGATTAGGTCAGTTTATAGGGAACCACTAGTGGTAGGTCAATGGTATTTGGGATGCAGTTGTATTAGCATTGGCACATCTCATTTCTATGGAGATTGTTAAGCCCTGTACCTTCAGTCATGGTTCATTGACTTTGAATATTTGCATAACTTACATGTTAAAAGTATTGCTATTTTAGTTTCAACATTTGCATTATCAAAATAACAAAAAGGCGAGACATATCTCTGTGTTAACAGTTTATTGTATGAACTATAGTAGATAAAGAGAAACTGTATATAGCAAAAATGTTCATCAAAATTAGATCTACTAATAAGTCACATTGCTGAAATCGTCAGTTGACCCCTTATAAGAGTTATTGTTCTTGGAAGATGGTTTTTGACATTGTAGCAAAAATAGTCATAGATACAGAGAAATTATAAAAAGGTAAAGATATAAAGCACTATAAGATCTACAAATAAGGCAATCTAATTACAATATTGATCTCTCATTTCGTTATCCTCATTCTTATATATACGAGCACGCGAGTTAAGATAGATCTGAATTTTAATCAGATTGCTAATAAGGCAACATGGCCGAAAGTGTCAACTGACTCCTTATTGGAATTATTGCCCTTGAATGACCTTTTTCACCCTTTCTATTTTATAATCAGAAACTGTGATTGATAGAGAACAACAATAAATAGAAAAATAAGATCCTCAAATAAATCCACATGGTTTAACCCGTCAAATGACCCCTTAGAAGAGTTGGTGCTCTTGAAAGATGATTATTTTTCTCATTTTGCGGAAATTATAATAAGAGATGGACAACGGACTCTTTAAGAGCTATTTCACATGAATGGTGATTTTTACTCAATATTTTTCATTTTTATCACAAACTATTTTGTATGGAGAGAAACTTTAAGATGCAAAAAATATCAGCTTAATGATATCTTCAAGTATTCATTGGCATTTTGTGTGATTTTTTTTCTTCAAATCCTTTACTTTTGAAAATTTCCAAAAATGTAATTTGCCGGTTAGATCTACAAAAATGTCCCTATACATAAGATTTACAAATAAGCAAACATAACTGATTGCAAAAAACAAGTAGAATATATATAAAAATTGCATATTTTTCAGGTGAGCGATCCAGGCTCTATGCCATTTTTCCCATGATGAGAAGAGATTAAAGGTCCAGGTTAGGTATCTGTGTTATGAGAAAAAGTTGTGACTTCAGATCTTGTTCACGAAAATAATGATAGATACACTCAAAACTTGTGGACTATTTTCTCGTGATCAGATAAAGCTTGGTTAATATGATATAATGTCCTAGGTCAAAAGTAAAAGTGTCCTCGTAGCGTTACGGGGAAACGCCCATAAATTTTGTTATATTGTTAAAAGATGCTCTTGACAACCGGTTCTTGACATCATGATAGATAATCTATCAACTCTTCCACCGGTAAGAAATTCAAGATTACTGCCAGAATTGATATGTTTATGGTTACATTAGAAATGTCTTCCACAATACGCGTGTTCTCGTGTTTCAAATAAATCATGATATGCTGACCAAGATGATCACTCAATTCAAAGCAAAGATCGGTGCGAAGCTATAGATGGAACGGCGGACCAGTTTAAGATGCTGGAACGATCTCTGATAACTGCTGTAATTTACACTATGTTGGTATGAAAACGCCTCAAGTCATCAAAAGCAAATGAGCTGTTCTTTAACTTGAACCAATAGATGCATAATTCCAAGATAAGAATAAAGAACTTTTATTCAAAATATGAAATGTAGCACACACAATAGTTAAGAACAAGCATGCAGCATGCTCATATGAAAATTATGAGGATATAGTATTGATAAGCAAAATTATATAGTAATTCCGAACAATTCTCATTCATCAAGGAATCTACCAACATATTGGAAAATGTCTTTGCTAGAACAGTTCAATTTTAAAAAAATCAGAAAAACTATAAACCACTTTTGCTTTCGATGAGATCAACTAAAATAGCTACCCTCTCTTTCCATTACATTGACTAATTTTAATTAGAAAGTGTGTGTCATCTTCAATTTCATTTAGAAATCAATGTTTGCATAATTCTTCATTTAAGTAACTATGGTACATGTTGTTGCATATTAATCTGCTACATTTAAGACCATTTAACTAAAAGAAAATAGAATAGTCAAATTCGAAATTAGTCATCAGAAATAAATATCATTTGAAAAGTTTTTAGCCGTCAACATTTGCATAGGTAATCGTCGAGCTCCCGACCAGACCCTCAAATAGGATGAAGCTATTTGATGTAACATACCTATAAATACTGATTAGGTGTTGTACACAAACTAATGATAAAAGTGAAATATTTGTGTAAATGTAAACAAAAATTGAAATTCACTGTATAGAGCATCATAAATATATAACGAACAATAGACAACTTTCATCGTTACACTGAAGCAGTAATTGTACAAGTGGCTGTAGTTTTGTGTAACCATGGCAACGCAATTTTACTAGTATCATCAACATTCTGTGCTCTATTATGGAGGATATATTTACACATCATTTTGTACTCGGATGCGGATTACATTTTACAAGGCTCTTCGATGGGTAAGGATTTCGAGTTTTTTTTATATTTGTGATTGTATATTGTTTTATATAGATAAAACAAATTTTAATGATATAATGCTGTAGAGATTTTTGAATCAGCATGATCCATTCCTTTGATGTGAGCCATTTATCAGGTTGATGATAGCGTATACATTATCTTCACATTTTAATATAACTTGGCACATTAGATTGCGGTAATATATTGGGCTCGTTGTAAGTCTATCCTACTGTTTACTGATGAAATGTTCTAATAGTATTTTCATGATTTACATTTTAAACTTGATTCAACATCGATGTAAAATGTCACCCTGAGTGCATGACTCCCCCCTCTAAAAAATGTAAGGTCGAATGAAAGGAAATGTATAGGTTGAACGTCATGTAGACAGCAATCCAACGACATTTTCTAGGGATTGTAAGTGATCGTGTTCACGAAATCCTGAATTCTCATGGGTAAAACTCATAACCTAAACTGCAATAACAATCGTTACCCAGAGTCATATTCAAGTGACGATTCGCACCTTCAGTTTTCATTTTGCAATTTTTATTTTGCACTATGTTTATTTTCAATGAGGCTTGGCCGAGACTCCTAAATTTGACAATGACAAATATGAAGGATAAAATAATGAAAAATATGTAGTTCTGATTAGGGTCAATCCAACTATAAAATTTCTAGATCCCAGCTGTTTGCTTGAAAATATCTGAAAATCATTTGGTTAATATAATTCTCAGAAGTGATTTATTTTATTCTTCAACATTGTTAATGAGTTTTATGTAGATG